GTGCTTGGAATACGACTAGGAGTTTGGTCGAAATGCGTTTTATCTACCACCTAGGTTGTTCGGTCTCCCGACTGTGTGGGACCAGTTGAACTGCGCACTTTGCGTCCGCGTTGCATTTCGTAGGGGTCTGCAGCAAGAGTCTTTTCATACAACCTACAGTCCGAATCTAACGTATTCTCGCCAAAGACCTACAAACTTGGCAGTCTAGAAGAGAAAGGTGCGCACTTGAAAAAATGGATAGTCCTTTTACTTAGTAACGTGGAGACGCCACTGCTGGAAGATAAGTGCTCTTCCATGTTTGCTGGGCGTTCACTTACCACTTATCAAGTATAGGTAACTAGTTCGTATGAGAGCCCCTGGGCGGTGCTCAAAAGTAAAACGGAACACAAGTATCCCGTCCGACGATCCAGTTAGATTGGTAAGATCGGTATGAGGTGACTTGGCACCTCCTCCGATCATGAAATCGTGTGTAAACGCGATGCTCAAAGTCCTAGGTTCATGTTTCAGGTCGAGGCGTGCCAAATGATCTAGATGTGAGTACTCCGACCGCCTTTTTTCGAGATAAAAAATCGCAAATTCTACCGAAAGAAACGTGATGCAGTGTATGAACCTAAAGACGGATGTCCCACTTAATTTCAGAGTATCGTTAGTGGAACACTTAGAGCGCTACTACGCAGACCAAATTCGGACTATGTGAGGTAAGAAGTATGGCATTCAAACCATTACTCACTTGACTGGACCCAGAGAGCGTTTCTCTTCCTCGAGGATCGCCTTGAAAGCTTCGTCTCGGGCCTTGTCATGTCCCCTGCGTTTGAAGAACTTCCTACATCAGCGAATAATCAAAGGAAACGAGGGTCAACTTATGAAAGATCAAATAGTGCATTCCATTATAGCTTGCGCTCGAAGCGGAAATATGGAGATTGAGTAAGTGGAAATACCGTACGGAACGGAGTAAAGCGTCCTCATAAATCAGGGCCTAAGAAGCCTAGGAAGAATGACCTACAGGAGTTGATAAAATGTCCTAAACCAGTTTTAAACTGTTAAGTTTCGAAAGATTAAAACAAGCGGCAACTTCGCTTCCCACACAAGATAGTAAGGTTGGCTCCATCTATGAGTTAGCGGCGAAATTAACTGAAGGAAACTAACTTTCGGAGCCTGGTGTGTGTGATACATCAATGTGAGCGACAATGTTAAGGTAATTTATTAGAAGCATTCAGGAAAATAGACTTTAATGAAAGGCTGCAGATGAGGGGAGCGAGAGGAATCACAACATACTTCGGTCCGATGAACATAAGGCAGAGGATAATCCAAGTGAAGAAGAGGCATAAGATAGACATCGGTATAGCGTACGCTGCCCACGTTCCGAAACTGAGGGAAGTCGATGTACCGTACTTTCTTAAAAGCGAAAAACAGCGTCATAAGGATCAGAAGTGACACTGCCAAGCATAAAACAAGTAAGACTACCATGAACATGAGTGAGTGTAAAGTGGCTGATATTCAGAGTCCTAAACTGGCAGACAAGTGTCGAGGTTATGCCAGTTACACAAAACTCAGTAGTTTATTGGCGGAAAAGATGGTTGTTAATACGCTACTATGTAGGAAGCAAATGCAAAAACTAGCAAATTTCAAACTATTCAATATCAAAATAGGACGAAACTCATATCAGTGTGGATTTCTTATTCAGTCTACTGCAGTTGGATGAATGAAAGAACTTTGGCCAGTCTAACAATTTCCGATGGTACTTCAGGTTTCACAAAATTAACATCAGCCCCACCACTATACAAATATCTGAATTATTTGCCATTTTAAATTATGCTAGTCTAATCAGTATACTTCTCGAGGAATCACAATGAGTGGGACCATGATATTGGGCCGACAGATTTAATCAACCGACTGAACTAGTTGCTTTATTTCTCTAGCCATAAATACGGATCGCCTAAGACACTGAGTGAACTGCTACCAAATCTTGCTAAATGAGCGATGACAAAGAAGTCCAGAGTCCCAGGTTCAATAAAAAAAACGAGTACGTCAGCGTTGTGTCGCTCAATGAAACGGGTGAAATCCGGAGTAGGTGCCGGAAGCAGCAAGTGTGGGGCCTATTTGTCACGCAGAATGTTTGGCGGGGTGACTCTAACCATCTACAGTTGTGTAGGTGACAAACAACCTTTCAAGATTCTTATATAGACAGACAGCAGACCGCGAAATAGCGGTGCGAGGGAGCTCCTGTCTCACCAGACACAATAGTCTCAATTGACTAACAGTGGGTTCAATTATTGTTGCCGACAGCGGATGGCAGATGGCCATATCAAAAGAAGTACTAAATTTGACATCCAGTTAGCACCACAATCCGGTATGTCGACTGAGACGAAAAAGTGAGATGACAAAAGACCGCTGCAGGAAAAGTAATCAGCGTTGAAAACGCTCGGTGCTCGGAAAATGGAGCGGCCTAATTAAAGGACACGAGAAGGGGGTGAAAGGTAGTTTTCAGATGCAGATTCTACACGCCAGTAGGCACGAAATAGAGGTGGACGGGAAAAGAGTGCGTTAGTGGTCAGGTTGTCTTTTGACATGACGCAGAGGGGCTTCGGGCCAGGGCCAACTGATTACTGGATGCAAGTGAGGACTGCATTAAGTGAGGCAGTGAGACCAACATTATAAAAGAAGACTCAGCTGTCTTGTGACCTGCAGCCATTGCCATCTTTAATAACCCAAAGGGAGCACACAGGCATACCTGACACCAGCAAACTACCTAAAGGCTAGAAACGATTTTGCTCAAAAAGATTGGCCAAGTTTAAAAATTAAAGGGCGTGGGTACCACTAGAGAGTGGGCCGGTCGGTTTAAATATTCGAATTCTCGGCACTACAATAGCACAAGTTGGAATAACGTTCGGCTTGCTGGACTTTTTGATAGTGTGTTAAGGTATGGAGTAGGGGTTAACACGAAACTTACTCGGTCACCATACCGTAGAAGACGACATTAGTTGGCGTGCCGATGACGGTGCCCATACCCCCGCAGCTGGATGCGAAAGCAATACCCAAACTCAAACCAGACGCCAGCTTGCGCAGTTCCTCGTTGTGTGCACTTCTTTTGTCCACCGTAGTTGCGTTTTGTCCTTCAATCTGTACAGCAGGGACGCCACTCTCAGAGCTCTGGAGGTCTCCAGTGATCCACGCTCCGTCTTGAGTATTGCCGTCTTTAGCTTTGCTAAAAAGCAGGAAATTGAGGTAGCAGTTTGGGTTTGGGCAGAAGACTAATCAATGTGAGAAGAAGACGACTAGATCACTGGGAGAATACTTTTATTCGCCTGAAGTTTCAACATTAGCGGAAAT